CTTCATTAATATAGGCCTATATTTTATCTCCAAGTGCACGTCACACACTGAGCGAGCCGCCTGTTAATGACGCTGTGGGCTAATGGGCATGTAGCTACTTCCATGTTTCACATGATACGTCATGTTTGTAGTCAACCAATGAAGATGAGTTTACATATCACCTTGGGTTCGTCCTTCACCTTCTCAAAATGATCCCACACTTTGGATTTCCTGCCCGACATGTTATTAACTAGCCTGTGGAATAACCGCAGGTACCAGCCCTGGAGATTAACCTGACTCCTGTCTGACTGCTGAGCGTGGACACTTCCTGTGTCTGTCCTTTCAAAGTAAAGTCACACATGCTCCAGTCATATAAGTTTGGATTATTTTGACTAATGACCTTTCTAGACTAATGTTTGGTCAACTATCGCTTGATTGCTGACTGTGACGGAGACCATCCTTGAACCTCCCTCACTGAGCGACTTCGGACCACCGTTAGAGCCACCACCAAAGATATCGCCACGTTTCTTTACTGCTCGTCATCTTTCATTTGGGACCGCCCAAAATCACACAGTGTACACCAGGCTATAGTTTTCTAACTTTTTAAACTGAAAGGTGACAGTAAGGTGAGATTTATTCTTTAAAGGGAAACTTTGCTGACTTTCAGCCGGATCTGTGTCACTGTTGTGTGCACTCTGTGCTGGCAGCACCTGGAAAATGCTTGGATGATGGGAAACGCGTCATTTTGCCTCATCGAAGTTGCAGTGCACGTCATCCAGTGGATTTTGACGGGCAGCTCAGGGGCCACATGTACTCCCCACGCTGCGATGACACAGAGCTGGTTGAAAATTGGCAAAGATTTCCTTTAAAATGTTGTTTTAAAGATGAAAAATACGTTCAGGACTTTCAGACTAACTGGTTGGTTCGTCCAGAGTTTGGACTCACTCTCTCATTCAGTGCCTTTTCTTTATTTTTATTATTTTCCGCATGAGAGAGTGTTCGAAGCTTTGAGGAATCTGAACTATCAAACATTTTGTTTACTACATAATCATGTGTTGATTTATACTTTGGATGTCTTCGGTGTGAAACATCGACTGAGGAAATCATAAAAATAAATAAAAGCCATGGAATAAGAAGTCCAACGTCAGACTGGTTCTGTACATCTGGTTAAACTGGTTAAACTTCCCTCCTCCATCTAAAGAGCAGCTCACAGCCACGTCTCTGAGCTTTCCTCTGGGAACCATCAGAGCTGTTCTTCACCAACCTGCTCTGATGCTTTAAATCATAAACAGAACGAGAGCGTCTGATGGTGTAGAAACTCTGTAGGATCCTGACTGAGCACAGTCTAAGTGTGATGTGTACAGATGTTTTTATCTTCATCCTCCCCCCTCACCTGCCTCCACTCTGTGTGTTCATCTGTGTCCTTCTCTGTCGTCTGATTGGTTCAGAGCCGTGTCCGTCGTTGCTGCTGCAGAGACACATGGCAGAGCTGCTGAGCATGGACAAAGACATGGCCGCCTCGTTCCTCAACAGCGTCCTGAACCAGCTCAACTGGGCCTTCTCCGAGTTCATCGGCATGATCCAGGAGGTCAGAAAACACCCTGCATTATCTTCTCTGTCTTTATGATTATATATATACAGTACAGGCCAAAAGTTTGGACACACCTTCTCATTCAATGCGTTTTCTTTATTTTCATGACTATTTACATTGTAGATTCTCACTGAAGGCATCAAAACTATGAATGAACACATGTGGAGTTATGTACTTAACAAAAAAAGGTGAAATAACTGAAAACATGTTTTATATTCTAGTTTCTTCAAAATAGCCACCCTTTGCTCTGATTACTGCTTTGCACACTCTTGGCATTCTCTCCATGAGCTTCAAGAGGTAGTCACCTGAAATGGTTTCCACTTCACAGGTGTGCCTTATCAGGGTTAATTAGTGGAATTTCTTGCTTTATCAATGGGGTTGGGACCATCAGTTGTGTTGTGCAGAAGTCAGGTTAATACACAGCCGACAGCCCTATTGGACAACTGTTAAAATTCATATTATGGCAAGAACCAATCAGCTAACTAAAGAAAAACGAGTGGCCATCATTACTTTAAGAAATGAAGGTCAGTCAGTCCGGAAAATTGCAAAAACTTTAAATGTGTCCCCAAGTGGAGTCGCAAAAACCATCAAGCGCTACAACGAAACTGGCACACATGAGGACCGACCCAGGAAAGGAAGACCAAGAGTCACCTCTGCTTCTGAGGATAAGTTCATCCGAGTCACCAGCCTCAGAAATCGCAAGTTAACAGCAGCTCAGATCAGAGACCAGATGAATGCCACACAGAGTTCTAGCAGCAGACCCATCTCTAGAACAACTGTTAAGAGGAGACTGCGCCAATCAGGCCTTCATGGTCAAATAGCTGCTAGGAAACCACTGCTAAGGAGAGGCAACAAGCAGAAGAGATTTGTTTGGGCCAAGAAACACAAGGAATGGACATTAGACCAGTGGAAATCTGTGCTTTGGTCTGATGAGTCCAAATTTGAGATCTTTGGTTCCAACCGCCGTGTCTTTGTGAGACGCAGAAAAGGTGAACGGATGGATTCCACATGCCTGGTTCCCACTGTGAAGCATGGAGGAGGAGGTGTGATGGTGTGGGGGTGTTTTGCTGGTGACACTGTTGGGGATTTATTCAAAATTGAAGGCACACTGAACCAGCATGGCTACCACAGCATCCTGCAGCGACATGCCATCCCATCCGGTTTGCGTTTAGTTGGACGATCATTTATTTTTCAACAGGACAATGACCCCAAACACACCTCCAGGCTGTGTAAGGGCTATTTGACCAAGAAGGAGAGTGATGGAGTGCTGCGGCAGATGACCTGGCCTCCACAGTCACCGGACCTGAACCCAATCGAGATGGTTTGGGGTGAGCTGGACCGCAGAGTGAAGGCAAAGGGGCCAACAAGTGCTAAACACCTCTGGGAACTCCTTCAAGACTGTTGGAAAACCATTTCAGGTGACTACCTCTTGAAGCTCATGGAGAGAATGCCAAGAGTGTGCAAAGCAGTAATCAGAGCAAAGGGTGGCTATTTTGAAGAAACTAGAATATAAAACATGTTTTCAGTTATTTCACCTTTTTTTGTTAAGTACATAACTCCACATGTGTTCATTCATAGTTTTGATGCCTTCAGTGAGAATCTACAATGTAAATAGTCATGAAAATAAAGAAAACGCATTGAATGAGAAGGTGTGTCCAAACTTTTGGCCTGTACTGTATATTCACATGATTAAAGTGTGTGGAAACAACACTGGATTTTAAGGTACCGCTCAGGAGCAGCAGGTCTGTGAGTGCAGACGATGAACACGGACGTGTTCTGGTGTCACTCGTGGACTCACTGATCCTTTAAAATGTTCAGTACAGTAGCTGTCAAATTTATTATGATATTCATGTGTGATTATTATTAGTTCCCCGACATCACAGTGAATGAACGCAGCTCTCAGACGTTCAGCACCTGAGTTAAAGTCAGCAGCTCTGTCACAGGACGGCAGACGTTAACATGTCAACACTGGTTTTATGTGTGAGATGAAATATTGACGGTGATGTTAGATGTTTTCCTGCGTTATGAAATAATCATTCTAACAGCACTGGACCTGTTCAGTCTCATAAATGTACTGAATATAACAGGCTAATATTTAGAGAACATTTAAAGAACATTAGAGAAGACAATCAGAATCAGGCGACTCTCCACACGCTGTCTGTGTCTGTCTGCGAGCGTAGACTTCCTGTTTACATTCATCACTGCACTCCTCTGTTATGACTGAACATCAGGGAACTTTAGGATGTCACAAAATCTGTTTCAACCAATCAGAGATTTGGGGTAATGTGACGATTAAAGGACATGGTTCATATAAAATGTTCTTATGCTTCTGAGCCAGCGAAAGCAGTTTTGGGTTGTTTGTCCTGTTGTCATGAACGTGATCTCTGAAGAAGGCCTTAAATTATGTTTAATATGTTTAATATGTTTAATATGTTTTTTGATTCTAACTGGATGGAGACTGTCAGAGACACTGGACTGGTGGGCGGAGTCATACAACCACAGGGCGGACTGGTATATACATAATTGTTTGCTTTTCTACCTCTGATCTCTTCTTCTCCTCTCTTTGCTGTCCACTTCCTGTCTCAGATCCAGCAGGCTGCAGAGCGTCCAGAGAGGAACTTTGTGGACACTCGTCAGCTGAAGGTGACTGTCATCATGAACTCTACACCAGGAGCTTTCTTCTTTTATACTTTAATGTTTATTGAGTTTTAGTTTGTGTGCACAGCCATAACTATCATTTATAATAACTAACAACTTTCTTTCCACCATCAGAAATGTAACGAGGAAAACTCAGCAAAAACAGTCATGGTTACAGATATCCACTTTCAAAGATGGGTATGTCGACCCTTTTAGAGCCGACGTCACAGTGACATCATGTTACCAGCTGGAGGTGCAGCTGCCTCTCCCCCACAGGGCTGTAGGCTCCATAGGAGTGTTAAAATGTGTTTGTCTTGTTGTGTTATTGGGAGCCAGAATAGAAGGAGTCATGGCTCAAAACCAGCCGCCACTGCCCGTCAACAAAAACAAAGACAACTATGGTTAAATGTGATAAGACCAAAGGACTGGACGGAGGCCATCATCAAAAATGCTCACATGTGCAGCGCACACTTCATATCAGGTTAGGGAAAAAGTATTTCCTGTTGTAGGGATGAATAAGGTTATGTGTATTAAGGGTTATCATGTCCACCTCATCAGAAACTGGGGAGGGATTAAGAGGAAGATTGGATTTCTCTGCAACGCTAACTTTTTAGCACATTAGCTAACGTTAGCTTCCATAGCAAAACAAACAAGTGTGGTCCTCCTTTGTAAGATTGGCTTCCTGTGACATCATCCATCCACTGAGTGAGAGCATACGGGTCGGCCAGTCTGGTCCCGTTGGTCAGTGTTTACTTATTCAAGTAACACTGGCGGTCCCGGAGAGTGAGTGACCTGACATGGTGCGTTGGTAAATTCAGTCTGACGCTCTACACTAAAATGAGAGCCCTGTTGGTGGAAGAAACGCAGCGTTATATTTCTACATGAATGAACCAACGGTTAAGTTAATCACACATTCACTCCGCTCGGCGCTCTGCTGCTCCGTCTCCACAGACAGAGTGTCCAGAGTGCGCTCTGCCACTCTGAGAGTGCGCTGCTCTGGATAACCCAACGCTACATTCAGACAGCGCTCCCAATTTATCAACGCTCCAGTTTGTGTCAGAGTGCGCTCCCACACTCACAATGAGTGTTTCTGAACGCACCACTCACATCATCTTCTTCCATCGTCTAAAACAAGACAACAGAAGTTGTTAGCTAGCGCTAGCTAATGTCTGTGGAGAACTGTTTTGCCTCCAGCTAAGCCCCGCCCACCAGAAACGTCATACTGTTTACTAACAGTAAAAGGGTCTATATGTATATCTATATCTGTATGTCCAGTATTGAAGTTCTTGCAGGTGTTTTTTCCACCGTGTCATAAATCATCATTTTCTTCCATTAACTGACAGAAACATTTTCTCTCAGTCTGCTGTAAATTAAATGAAGCAAATTTATCTTCACTAATAAGCTGGGTTCACATTAATGTTTATTTTTGAAGATTTTTTTTTTTTTACATATAGTTTAAGTATGTAAAGTCACAGTAAAGGTGCAGAGTTAATGTGGAGCTTCAGGTCAAAGGTCATGTTCAGTTTCAGAAGATCTCAGAAACTGGATGTGTTGTTTCCACTGAATCAGCTGCAGACACAAAGTCACTGTTTCTGTTTCAGGAGCTTAAATATCATAAACATCCTGATCAAACATACTTAGAGCTGAGACAGTCGGTTAATGAATAAGTCCATTTACAGAAAAATTATTTTGGTAATTAATTCATTGTTAATGTTTAAAATTCTTTTTTTCCTGATTCCTGACACAGTAAACAGAAAATATTTGGTCTCAGACAGAACTAATGATGTCGAGGCATCAACTCCGCTCCAGGAACTTCAGATTTATCACTGTTTTCTGACTGAATGATTAATTAATGAATGAAGTAATTTATTAATCATTTTAACGGCTGAACCTCCACAACCTGCAGCCTGTTGGTTTAAAATCTGAGGAGAGACTTACACTGTGTCTCAAACTGCATCCTTCTGTTAGCACGCCTTACTGTAGTACTCTGTGTGCTGCACTGATTTCAGCAGGTTGGTCTTAAGGCACAGTGGACATTTGACTGCTGTGCGCGCCCACACATACACCAAACTAACAACACAGCGTCAGTGCTGATTAGGATATGCCGCCATATCTAGGAGCAGCGTTAGCTAACGTTAGCATTTGCATTATTGTTTGCGGTACCAAATCATCACAGACCCAACAAACATCAATGACGACTTCTGTTCGACAACAGTTTCGGTTCTAAGTGTCAAATGATGTCGAACCAACAGGCTCCTTGTCTCCATGTCCAAAGTTGAGACGTTTCCTACGTCACAGAGATGGCTTTGAGGTTGAGGATGAGAAGTGTTCGTCAGTCCACTCTCAACTCTTGGACCATTTTGAGTGCGTCAGCAGTACACTGCATTTTCCCGCACTACACAGTGTGAACACACTCAGCACACTCAGAATATGAAGGGTTGAGTGCAGAGGGATGTGATCTGAGACTCACCTGGGAGTGAACCTGTCACCGTGTGTGTGTGGCTTGATGATGTAACACCTGGTCTCGTTGCAGGTGTGTGCAACCTGCTTCGACCTGTCGGTCAGTCTGCTGCGGGTGCTGGAGATGACCGTCACTCTGGTTCCCGAGATCTTCCTGGACTGGTCCCGTCCGTCTGCAGAGCTCCTCCTCAGGAGACTCGCTCAGGTAAGTCACACCTGGACTCAGGCACATTACAACTTACTCCTTTTTAACCTTTATTTAAAGAGATAAGTTCCATTGAGGTAACATCACAAAGACAACAGCGATACAGTCAGTGTTCCAACATACATGTAGACAATTGAAACAAACAGTAAACAGGATCATATCTTTGTTGTGTCTGGGTTCCTACCTGAACCCCCACACTGCATAGTGCCAGTGCAAGTGAAACAGACGCTCTCAAGCAATGACGGCGGTGTCATCCCACCTACTGTGAGTTGATGTACCATCACAAGGATCTTGGATATATATTTTGAGGGCTCAAAACTACATTGTGTTGCTTTAAGATGACCGTATAGAAGCTAAGCTAACAGCTAACGGCTAACGGCTAACAGGGAAGTAAAACCTGACCTGTGTTTACATCCTGTCCTCTCTGTTGTTTCTCTGCAGCTGTTGAACCAGGTGTTAAACAGAGTGACGGCTGAGAAGAACCTGTTTGATCGAGTCGTCAACCTGAGACTGCCAGGTACACACACACACACACACACACACACACACACACACACACACACAGGTTTATAATCTGTATTTCCAGAACTTTATATTCAGTGTTGATGAAGACAAAGTTTTTGGAGTTTAATTTGCTGTGTAACGTTTGTGAGCAGCTCGTAAAGTTCAGTGTTTCCCAGTGTCCCATAAAAACCAGTAAAAAGCGGTGCGGCCCACAGAGAGGAGTCAGTGAACAGTCAGCAGATGAACCTGTGAGTCACACAGTTATTATTCTTATCATAACGATCGTCTGATGTGTTAGTGCAGGAGGTTTACACCATCAGAGCACCTGGTCACCACCTGGTCACCACCTTCACGCAGCAGGAAACAGAGTGGTTAAAGTCAGGTGGTGTGTGACGGCATCATTATGGGATGGATTTGTTTCTGTGGCTGTGCAGGTCTGGAGAGCGTGGACCACTACCCCATCCTGGTGGCTGTTACAGGGATCCTGGTTCGAATCCTGGTGGATGGCGACAGACAGGGGTAAGACCTGTTCTCTTTAAACTTGTGTTACCCATAATGCACCTGAGGCGTGATGGTTCAGTCTGGGTGGAGCTGGTTTCCTGCAGAGGGAGGCTGGTCAGTACGTTGCAGCACACAGTGACTGTTTCTGATCGGAGCTGCTTGTCTTGTTTGTGGCTCATCACTGAGTTTGTTCACGTGTTTACTGAAGACGACTGAAAATCCACTCAGTCCCGTAACCATGGTAACTGTTAGGGACGCATTATACTGGATTATTTTGACGATATCCAATATGCCGATATAGAGCAGTAACTGGTAACGATATCGGTGTATCCTCCTGAGACCTGAACTGTTGTTTGGTATGCATTCTTAATTTCTGTGAGCTATTTGGGATCAGTGGGACCTGAGAGAAAAAGCACGTTGGTCGAAACTGAGAGTTCATTTTAAAGCTGATATCGGCCGATACTGATGACGTGCAGATGTTACCGTGCGGCCCTGATCACGAACTGTGGAAACATTTTCAGGCTTTAAATGTCGAGTTCACTCCTGGTTTTTAAAAGTGAAAAACGGCTGCTGCTTTAAACAAAAATAACCTGCGTCTTTAATTGTTGTTCACCTTCATCTCTGAGAAGTCTCAATTCTGATTGGCTGGATGGTGCGGGTTAACAGACAGTATGAGCTGTGACACAGTGGCCGTGGCCTGTTCCAAAAAGGCACATTGCGTCTAAACCGGAGTCCTGCACGGGTCCAGTTTTCAAGATCCGCCCGCCCCGACCCGGCGACGTACAAACCCGCACCCGAACTGCAAACCCGCGCATCAGGCCAATTAGTACCGCAACCCAGTCCGACCCGTTGAAACACGACCCGCAGCTCGACCCGTAACCCGGATTTAAAATAATCATTTTGGGTCATATTGGCTGAATATTGAACAGCATATCGCCACAGTTAAGGTGCCAGTGAGTAAACAACGACCTGAATGAAGCAGCTCTCACAATAAAAACCTGACTTCAGCTCCATCATCAACCCTCTGTGTTCTTCTCCCATACGAGTGTAAAAGCACTCCTTTGTTACGTTTAATGCTTTTAAACTTTTAATCTATGTAAAGGAACTTTACATGTGTAATAATAGACTTACTTTCTGTCCAGAGCGACGTTCAGCAGTTACGAGCCGTCACGTGTTTTTAGAATCCATCGAGGAGAGAAGTAATCCATCAGGGAAACACTTCAGAAACATTATAAAGTGATAGCTGTACGTTTTATCCACTTATTTCTCAAATACCTAAATAATTATTTACTGTTTTGGAAGCGGCGCTTGTTAGACGGTGGCAGCCATGTTGATTCTGTCGTCCAATCACATATTGTGTTATTAGATGGTGAAACGCTTGTAAACAGCTGAACCAATGACTGTTGCGAAATAGCGGTGGCGATCCTCAGAGAGTAAATAATGACCAAGAGAGTTATCTGTAGTTTACCGAACTAATGACTGATGTGTTTATCTAAAACCCGCGATCCGACCCGCATGTTATTTTTTCTACCCAGATCCGAACCCGGGAAAAAAATGTTCTTTTAAAAACCACCCGCAAATCAGCTGTTTTTGCGGGTACCCGACCCAGTGCAGGACTCTGGTCTAAACGGGTTTGTGTAACATCACCAAACTTTGAAGAAGCTCCGTCAGCTGGAGTTGTGTAAAGTGTTGCAGTGTGTCAGTCTGTCGGCTCGTTAGTTCGGCGCTGGACTCTGCTGCCGTCAGCGTGTGGGGGACGACCAGTAGTGATGTCATCATGCTGGAATTACTAACTTAAACTCAGAACCTTAAAACATGATTGATTATTGATTCCTCGGAGGAAATCTGACATTGATGGCATCAAAGTTAATTTGGCTTTAACATGATCACTTTCCCATCTTCAGTTACCATCAGAGAAAACACTGTAAGAACAGCCGGTGCATCGACGCTGTGGAAAATCATGTTCCAAATATTCAGATGTGATATGTTTGATAAAGCCATATTTTAGACACTCTGTCCTGGTGCTGCGTGACATGACCTCAGATCAATATCAGGATTAATTATAATTAATGAATGATATTTTGTTTTAGTTTTTTGTCCTCAGAGTTCACTGACGAGGTTTGTACTGTAAATATGCTCAAATGTTAGAGCTGGGATGTTTTCCTTATGTGTCTGTGATTTTAAAACAGTTGAAGGAAAAACACAGATGAACCCTAAATTATTTATTGAACATTTCGAACAATTGAAATCAGAGCACACGTCGCTTGAGATGAAAACATCTTACGAAAAAAGTCACATTTTAGTTTTAATGTAAAAAAAGCAAGTTCCCTGAAAACGTAGGAAATAAATAACTTAAACAAAATCAATCATCTTAAAATGTTGCCATGTCTCAAAACAAAGGAACACTCCTCACATCTGTTTCCACACAAGTGTGCTGGAGAGAGACAAGAAGAATAAAACTAAAAGACTCCCACAGACTGTCTAAAAATAAAAAAATAATTAAAAATAAAAATAATATTTCTGGGGCGTCGGTGGCATAGTGGATAGAGCCGGCGCCCCATGTACAAGGCTGTTGCCGCAGCGGCCCGGGTTCGACTCCAGCCTGTGGCCCTTTGCTGCATGTCTCTCCCTCTCTCTCTCTCCCCCTTCACACTTGTCTGTCCTATACATTAAAGGCTGAAAATGCCCCAAAAAAATATCTTGAATAAAAAAAATAAAAATAATAATTTTAATGCTGCAACAGTTTGGTGAAAACAGTTATTACAGGTTATACAGTGTGCAGATTCCTTTCTATAAGTGTTGCCATGTGGAAATTAAGAAATAACTTCAATCTCTTCAAAAAATGTCACATTTAAGTAAAAATCAAGTTCTCTCGCATCCAGTCAGGACCCAGTGTTAAACGCTGTGAATGTCACTGCTCTCATAGATACAGCCAGTAGATGGCACTGGAGGGTGGAGGAGGTCGGATTATTGTACCTTTAATGGAGGCAGTGTGAGGTCATTAAATCCATCCTGACACGTGGGCAGAGAATTCTTTTCACTGTATCAACGATTAGATCTGTCCCGCCATCGTCGAAATGTTTTCACCGTCTCCTGCTGGCGTGTCTCGTCTGAACTTCACTGTCTCCACGCTCTCCAGTGCTTCTGCTCAGTTCAGTCCGAATCTGTAAACTTTCAGAAAACGTGCACAAATACAGACACAAGGAGTTGGGACACAAGGCTCCGTCTTCGTCTCCGTTATCTAATAAACTGAGCCATATTCAGACCAAGACGTTTGAAGACGTCACAGGGAGTTCACAGGATGTTGTGATGGATGTGTTTGATTCTGAAACAAGCAACATTTGAAACTCTTCAGTGTCTGAGCGCTGATTCAGGAGGAAGTTAGTGACGGACGCAGAGCTCAGACTGAAGGAGCTCCACAGATACATGACCAGGTGAACCCATTAATGGAGAGTGATGCTGAACGTCTCCCTGCAGCAGCAGAATGTGTCTTTGAGTCTCAGGAGGTGGAGTCGCTGCAGTAGAAAGAGTTTCCAGTGGTGTGTGTGAACCGTGACCGCCGGCTCTTCGTCAACATTTAATGGCACTTTAATTAACAAGCTGTTCGTCCAGTGACATGAATCCAAACTCATTACCTCTCAGTGACTCTGCTGTCACATGACACCGTGAAGGTCTGACCACAGCCTGTGAACAGCATGACGAGAAATCAGCTCTATTAAACTGTGTTTTGGGAGACGCAGCCTCCGGGCCACCGTACTCTAAAGATTGTCCACTCGTGACGCTGTGTGCAGCTTAATGTGGCTGAAGGGTGTTTGTCTCCGTGCTTAACTGGATAATTGGATTTCTAACCTCAAAAGGAAAAACATCACACACACACATCCTTGTTTTCCTCCCTCGAGGGGTCCACATTGTTTTGCTTATTTGTGGGGTCTGCGCGCACACACACAGACACACACATGGACACACAGACACACACACAGACACACACACAGACACACACACAGACACACACATGGACACACAGACACACACACAGACACACAGACACACAGACACACACACAGACACACACACAGACACACACACACACACACACACGGACACTCAAACTGCAGAAACTTAAAGGTACAGTTCAGAACATCTTTAGAGCTTTAAAGCAAATACAAGGAGCTCTCATGTTGTGTTGGTTTTGGCGCCCCCTGTGGACAGAGGTGGTAATGACAGTTATCTGGCAGAATGTGAAGCAAATAAAAGGAAGCTGCAGCTTATTTTTTATCCTGTCTTAGTTTATGAAACACAGCTGTTTGCAGGACGCACAGTGACGAGGTCATGTGTCTGTGGGAGATGAACAACTGTGATATGAGGACGGTGAAACAAAGTCAGCTTTGTTTCATTCAAACACCCCGTGGACTCGTGTTTTCTGCCTGTGCTCTGTCACTTTTTTTATCCTGAATCAGTATCAGCCAGAATCACAAAATTTAACATCTAATATAAATTTCTTTCTGCTTCTTTTGAACTGGTAAACGTTCAAACTCTGCCTGTTAAAATGTAAACTGAGAGTCTTCTGGTCAGCGTGCTGTGAATCATGTGGTCTGATGGGGATGGGAGTCTGATCTGGGACCAGGACTCTGTAGAAACAGCCGATCTTCTCACCCATGGTGGGTTTGTTTTTGTACGTGATAGAGATGTTTAACATTCATTCATTTTCGTCCCTGTTATACGGCGACTGATCTGGCCTCTGCTCGGAGGGTAAGGAGCTCCTGGACCTTAGTGTTTTCACTATATTTGGACATTTTCAGCCGCTGCTCTTCTTCTTTGAGCTAGCTGCTAACTGCTACTTTTTAAATCTCCTGCTGTGGGTCGCACACATTACATGTCAACAAAAAGTCACACCTGTCCTGTCCATGGTCCCGTCCTGCCAGCTGTCCCTTTTAGACAGAGGTCAGTGTGGCGATGTGATTACCTCCGCTGTCGACTTAAAAGTGACAACTCTGTCCCCTCATTCTGTGTCGATGCAG